AAAAAAGAGAGAAAAGAGAAAAGAGAAAAGAAATGAAAAGTAAAAAGGCCTTTGCCTTACCAAAGAAATCATCCCGTACTATGAGAGCCATCCCATACGAGAAAGGGAACAGAAAGAAATGGGGACAAAGGGGAAGAAAGGAAGAGAAAAACAGCAGCCATTAAGTACCAGCCTGTAAACAGCAAACAGAGCAGCCTGTCAGCACATGTATAGTGTGTGGTGCCAGTACACGATTCTTGGTTCAAAGTTATCTCATTCTGTTGCAGCCTGACCTAACAGGTACTTTACTTTGGAGTGTCACAGAACAGTTTGGGTTGAAAGAGACCTTTAAAATTCATCCATTTCCAGTCTCCTGCCATGGGCAAGGACACCTCCCACTAGATCACACTTCTCTCAGCCCCATTCAACCTGGCCTTGAACACACCAAGGGATGAAGCAGTCCCAGTTTCTCTGGGCAGCCTGTGCCAGGGCCTTATGAGTCCAACTGCAAAAAAAAATTTTCTTATATCTAATCTAAATCTCCCCTCTTTTGTTTAAACCATCACCCCTTGTCCTATCACAACAGATGTCAGGATAAGCTTGAGATGACCTCATCTGCTTCCCTCATCCTCATCATTTTCCCTGTATGATACATCCTTGAGTTTCCCATCACCACAACAAAGGCAGGTCAACAGATATTATGAAGAGGGTGAAGAAAGGACAGTAGCAGGGGGAAAAACACAAAAGTGGGGCTGAGTATCAAAGCTTTCATCTGGCCTAAAAAGGCCCAAATCCACCTCCACACTGCAACAAACTCCAACCCAACTTCAGTGGGAGGTTTTCTGAGAAATGTTCACACAAAATGTGGCTTACAGTAAAACCAGTTTGAACGAAAAGAAGTGATGATGCTGTCCCTTCTTGGATGTCCCTATTGTCACTGAGCAGTACCAGGCACAGAGAAATGGCAGAGCTGGTTGGTACATGACGCTAATGCAGCTGCCAGGTCATCACCTTAACTACAAGGCAAATTTTACCCAGTTTTCACTGTAATCAAGAGAGATTCCCTTGACTTCAACTGACATTGCATCAGGGCCCAAGTGTGTTTTACAAGCAGGTGCAAACCTGATGGCAGAGCATGGCCCTAGGGCAGCGAGCAACCTCCCCCAGCAATGGATAGAGCCATCACTCAGCTCCTGAGACAGAAAGGCAAAGTTTCCACCCAAGACAGAGGCTTTGCCACTCTAACCCATCACAGAAGTGTCTTTAATGTCACTACCACAATAACCGAAGAGGGTTGCTTTGCACCAGGTAACCCCCCACAGCCATCGGCACATGGAGGAACTCCCCACAGAACAGGCCATGGAGAGGACAGTGGGACCCTCACTCAGTCGGTGCCCACCCGACCTCTGCTACAAGTACCCTTCCTGGCAGATAAAAAGCCCTTTGTGCTCCAAGACCTTTGAGTGACAGGTTAGTGCAACACTGTGGAGCAAACCTGCCCAAAGCCAAAGAAGAGAAAGTGGGTTGAAGGGTAGCAGGAATGTGAGCAGAGAAGGGACCTCCTGCTGCAGGGACCCATCAGTGTGAGGCAACCAAGCAAGGCAAGGTGGGAGAAGTCTGCAAAGCCAACTGTGTTTGGACAAGAGCAGGGGAGTATCCCATGTGTATGCCACATCATCCGACCTCAACCAGAAAAAAAGAAACAAGGAGAACTGAGCAGGAGATACACACCTGAGAACTCCCCTATGCGCCATGTCCAGCGAAGCACGGAGAGACAAGGGAAAAAGGAAGTGAAAAAGGATCCATCAGTGACTAAAACCAACAAAATCAAAATTTTGTTTAAAAAAATTAACAATGATTCAGCCATTTCAATGTCAAAATGCATGAAATAGTAAGGACAGGACCTGCCATAGCTGTTGATGGCATGACTCTACATATAGGACAGAAAAAAAACCCAAGGAAAGGTTACCCATGGCAAAATTGCAACCACACACCTCAGCTATCTCCAGATCTGGAGCTGAAGCAATCGGATTTTCCTGTACTGGGAAAACCTTTTTATGCAACATCTTTATTTAGTCATCTACCACGAAATGCGTAACAGCTCATTCCCACTACCTCTCACTTCCCCTCACCTTGCAATTTTAATAGCTGTATCCTCTGACCGTAACTGTGCTCTCCAGTGACATTTCAGCTTGCAAAAGACAAGGATTTGCATTTCAACCTTTTTTTTTTTGTACAGTGTAGCACTGGGACTTAGTTTGATAATCTCATTTCCACTTCTGTACACAACACTGTATATAAACTTACCTCTAATAACACTGCATTTCTGTCTTTACCACAGGCCCCCTTGCTCTTTAATTTCCAAAACAAATATAGTTGGTTTTCCTAAACCTGAATCACAGAACGGTTTGGGTCAGAATGATCATCCAGTTCCACCCCCTGCCATGGGCAGGGACACTTTCCACTATCCCAGGGTGCTCCAAGTCCCCTCTAACTTGACCATGGACACCTCTAGGGATGAAGCAGCCACAGCTTCTCTTAGCAATCAGCTCACCACCATCACCACCCTCAGTAAAAGGACCTATCCACTGAGCACACCTGAGCTGCTGTGACTGTTTGTGTCTGGAAACACCTGGGATGGGGAAGAGCAAGAAGAGGGATCTGATAGAAGGGGGAACTGAGAAAAGGGGAGATGGGAGAACAGGAACCTACCCAGGATCACTTGTGATTAACAAGTGAATATGCAGGAAAACTGCCAACTAGTGCTCCCAAGTTTGTAGGAGAAGTAAGGGAATTTGGTCCTCAATGCTCATTAGTAAATAATTGTTCTCACTCCCCATTTTTCTCCAGAATAGTTCCTATATAATTCCATGGATGTAAAGCAGTATTAGAGGTGGGAGGAAAGCCATGTGTCTTATGGATTTTATTCAAAATAATAAAACATGAAGAGTGCCAATTATGTACCAGGAATAAATGTGATTTTTCATTCCAGAATCAGACTTGCCTGCCAGCCAGTGCTCAAGGGTAATTTCTACAAGCCCTGTTCTTAAGGTACTCTTTAATGAAATTTCCCTTTCTTTAAGGAATTGAGACCAAAAAAAAGGAGATTATTTACAGATTGACTGCCAAGTTTTGAGAGACTGGAGGAAGTAATAACTCTTCACTTAAGTGAGCTTAAAGTCATTCATGAATTTGATTTACAGAAAGAAGCAAGCTCCAAATATGACCTCGAGAGAACTCTTTCAGCTTGTGGATCTTGTTCCTTACATCATGGTCATAAAGCACTATTTCCTCTGTGTCTCTTCAGATTTAAAGGTACAGCACAAAGAGAGAACATTCTAACTAACAAAAAAAGGCAAAATTTTGGATTATGTTGACAGATTTTGTCAGCCCTAAGATCTAGCCCTTTGTGTCTATCTTTACCAGACTTTCTTTTGTGCTTTCTATAGAGCAAATACAAAAAAGTACCACTTTTATTTATTGTTGAGACATGACCCCTGAGATCTCTCTGTGCTTCCTCCCTTTGTACAACCAGCAATGGTTGTGTTCATTTTAAAAACACTCTTATGTGCCAAAGGCAGTGGCTAGAACTCAGCAAAAGGATTAATTAGATCAATGTTGATCACAAAAAAGGCACAGAAATACCTGATTTCATCACATTCCATCTCCCAGATTTGAAAAGGAACCAGTCTTCCTATTTTGCCGGCTCACCACGGGATCACCTGAAAGGGCTCTGTAGCTCTGCTCAGGCCAGAAAATGGTCCGAGCACAGAAATGTCCTCCTCATAAGCCATGCTGCTGTCTTCAGAAACTACACTGTGATCTTCAGGGCCCACGCTTACATGGGCACTGTTCAACAAAGCCTTTGTACATTTCATTGCAAGTGGTACCTCCCAGACAACAGACATCTCACCACACTGAAGCACTGAAATCTTTGGGCAGCCTTATGGCAGGAGGAGGTGAAGCATCTTTGACTTCATCCAAGACTGTAGTGAACAACCATGCAAGACTTGGGCAACAAAAAGCTTTGGCCCTTTGAAAACAACAGTCTGTATTTCTTGCTGATCACTGGGTCAGGATACAGGGTAATCCCAAGCCAAAGTGGATTTTCAGAAGGCAGGCTTCCAAAGTGGGAAGCATGTTGTCTGAAGCTGTTTATACACCAAATAATTAATTTTCAAGAATAGTAATTCTTCCAAGCCAATAATATCTGATATCCCACCATTTTGGGGGGAGAGGAAAAGCAGCAGTTGGCACAGTGATTAGTAGATAGAGCCACACAATCAACTGAATACTCCTTGATGAAGAAGGAGTGGACATGAGGACCAAGACAAAACAGATAGTCAATGGCAAGATTATCCATGGTTTTAGTGTTTTGATTCTGCCAGGAAGAGAGCTCCTGATAATGTATGAAGCTGGCTAAGTAAAATTCATTCCACAGCTTTAACCATCACATGTAGTTCTTACTGTCAAGCTTCCCTTTAAGCATGAGCCCCAGCCCTTCTGCAAATGGCTACTAGTATCCAGGGGATTCTCAAACCTGGAAATCTTGCTTTTCCTTCAAAATTCTTGATTTTGTAAATATCTGCACAGACTGGCTCCCAGTGCAGGCAGAGAAAGGCTGTGTGATCATACAGAGTCTTCTGCAGTTTTTTTTTTATTCTGGCAATCTTGAGTTGAAAGTGAAACAATATATGATTTTATGCTTTAGGCAATGGCACGAGGGCTCTCATATATGCTGCGCGATTTAAAAAAAAAACAACCCAAACCTACTCATATCAAAAAGCTATTGCGAGCATTTTCATGATGGTCTGGTTCATATTCTTAATTCCCCTCACATATTAGCAATAGTAGTACAATTTCACAGATACCTGTCTTTCATCAAACAAGAATTTATTAACTCTTCTCCAGTTTTCAGTCCACATCCTCAAGGTTAAGTTTTTGTTTAATAGGGGAAAATCTATCCCCCCTGCAGAAACATATACTTTTTAAGGCTCCTGATACAATAAATATCCAGGCTAATACAAGTACCTTCATAATTTGGGCAAAGGTGAGCTGTTGAAAGTCCGTACGACACATTTTAGCTCATTCTTTTCTAGACACATACACAGAACCAAACTTACAAGATTATCCATAAGCAGATCTATATCAGTAATCAACAGAATGTTCGCTTTAAGATCAGATCTCACCACTAAGTACACATAACACCTTGTTTCTGGAGTCCTCATGTGTCCTAAGGCTCCTTAAAGCAAGCAGTAACATAGATAATGAGCTACACTGTTACAAACTCTATCAGCTGCCCATGTCACCTGAGTATTCAAAGACCACTTGTACTGCCCTCATGCAGGAAAGCAGCAGGTATTAAGAACATTTCTAACTTCTGTCAAAAAACAAGATCTAGATACTTCGGAATCCAATAGAAAAAGTATCAAGAGGGCTCAGAGTGCTCCCTGAGGCAAAGCTGCTTCTCTGACTGCTGCAGGGTCCCAGTCAGGAACACAGAACATAGCCTGGCTACAGGTATTACTAACACCTTCAAAATCAGCTTAAAAAGTGAATTATTACATCTCTTAGGCTGACTGCAAAACAGTAAATACTGCAGTACAGACTATAATATTTCCACATAATTTAAACATCAAAAACTTAACCAAATAAGTCACTTTCTTACAAATTTCAAACTATTTTTTTCTCTCGGTATAAAATTATTGGGGGGGGGGGGGAGGGGGCAGAATTTTCAGCCAGAAGATGAAGAAGAAAATTTTGTCTCCAAATTATTTTTGTGGGAGAATCCTGTAGCAAAATAACTTATGCACTAAAGACAATCCAAATAAAAGTTATCCAACAGCTGAGATTATTTTCTAAATAATAATTACTGTACTGCAGGTACATGCTTCTATCACATGTATCTCAATTTCCATGCATTCTTAAAAAAGCTAAACATCCAAGTTCTGAAAGAAAAAGATAATTTAAATGTTTCTAGAAGTTTAATATAGAGTCATTGTACCAGAGAAAATAGAATGGTTCTAACAAGGTTTTACCTAGCAGATCTGCTCCTTCATCAACATCTCCAATGACCTCAGACCCTGCTGTGGAAAGTTCATGGTATAGGGAGTCTGTGTTGATGCCAAATGCTTTGTTCACAATCCCCTGTGTTGGGCTGTTGTTGGAAGCAAAAAACCAGAAGGAATCTTGTTACTTGGCAACATTTAAACTCAAACATTTATCTTTGAAATATTGAGCATCTCAGACTATTGCAATCAAAACCCATCTGTTCACCATTGGCTGAAATCAGGGAACACACTGAGTAGAGAAAACAGCATGTGTTATTCCCCATATCATAGAATTATGGAATTATTCAATTATTCGGGTTGGAAGGGACCTTAAAGACCATGTTGTTTCAACCCCCTGCTGTGGGTAGGGACACCTTCCACTATCCCAAGTTCCTCTAAGCCCCATCCAACCTGGCCTTGGATACTTCCAGCCAAAGCTGCTCTCGGCAACCGGTGCCAAGGCCTCCCCACCCTCATGGACAAGAACTTTTTCCCAATATCTCATTTAACCCTACCCTCTCACAGTGGGAAACCATCCCCCCTTGTCCTGTCCCTCCAGGCCTTTGTCCAAAGTCCAGCCCTCCTGGAGCCCCCTTAGGCCCTGGAAAGGACTCTGAGGTCTCTCTGGAGCCTTCTCTTCTCCAAGTGAAAACTGCCAGCTCTCCCAGCCTGGCTTCAGAGCAGAGAGGCTCCAGTCCTTGGAGCATGTCCATGGGCTCCTCTGGACTTGCTCCATCAGCTTCATGTCCTTCTTGTAACTGAGGACCCATCTATCATCCACAACCTCAAAGCTCACCCAGATTATTTACTCTGAAGTCACACCAGTTAAGGACTATTCAGTATTTCATAGAAAAATTTCAACTCGCTGAAGAGCTCAGCTTTGACCTGTCAGGTTCTAAAACGATTTCCATGTTCTGATCAGTCTAGCTAGAAACCTCAGGCAGCAGTAAGACCAAGAAAGAAATTTAGTGCTGAAAACAGCAACAGCCTTTTTACTTAGCCAACCAATAACTGCAATCAGTCTGAAGGGTCCATTTTCCCTTTGGGTAAGACTGTATTGAAAAGCACTTCTTCACATGTCCCCAAATGTTTTTAATTAAAGGTAAATCAAAGATAATAGTTCTTAGTCATATCAGATGATGGCACATTTCAACCTCTCAGTGTCCTTGATACCATCAAGAATCTTCTTGTATTTCTTGACAGCCTCATAGCTCAAAGCAGCAAAGAGTTGTTACAAGATGTGCAGGGGAAGCAACCTCTGGGATTGGGCCTGTCTATTCTAAAAAATGGTCTTAATGTGGGTTAAAAACACTTTTCAATGCCCTGCTTTGTATGAGTAACATCAACCAGCATGAACAGCAGCTGTGCAATTTCTCCAGCAATCTATCAAAAAGGTCAGCACCAGCTGAGATGATCTCAAGTTCTATGGCTTCATTATCACATAAATAATCCTAGTGATTATAAATGGAGTGTAGTAGCTGCCTCAGATATTGCAGCCACAGCACACTGCAAAGAAGAAGAAAAAAAAAGTGGGTTTTTCACTTACAGAAAAATTCCAGCTACCCAGACATTTGAGAGCACTGAAGAAGTACAAATAGTGCCATGATGGCACTACAATTAATCAGTTCACACAATCCAGTGGTCAGCACAAATGACAAGAGAAACCAGCACTCAGTCTGACCTGGAGACCTAATTCAGACTGAACTTTCCTGTTCAACATTCAGCTTTCAGAGCTATATGTATCACGAAAGCACTCTGCTTTCAGAGCAGCACACATACTGTCAGCAGTCCAAGTCAGGCTGTGTCCCCGGTAGCTCTCAGTCTCACCACCTGGAGCAGAGATTCCTGCCTGAAGACTTCCAGTGCTCTGTTTCTTTCTTTCTCCTGGATTTGTCCATTTTTTATCTGATCTTATCAGTCACTTTTGTCTTCCCCACACAGAGCAATTTCAACTCCCTAGATTCCTCCTGAGCCTAAAAATAATCCAGGCATCCTATATGTCCCAATGGAAGCTTAACTGTGTGTGCCTTCCCGGCTGAGAAATGCAGATGTTATTGCTGCTCATATCCTTCTCAGTGGGGGTGCTCAACAGGGTGGGCAAATCCAGTCCAGACTGGAACCATTAGAAAATCTTGCCTTCACTCTGCCAGGGTACTGTATTTTCTGCATATCTGTAATATTCTGGAGAGGTTTTTTGATACAGTGCCAAATTACCCACTAGAGAAGGGTAAAAGGTAAACTTCAGTAAAAACAAACCAAGGTACCTATGCCTCACAGTAATGTGGTGCCAAAATTAATAGCCTTTAGGAAGCCTCCTATTTAGAACAAAATGGGTGATGGGTAGAGACCAGAGCAGCAGAATAGTTTAGTAGAAGTCTGATGATTCTTCTGAAAAGTGCATTGAGGATTTGTAACCACTCTTCAGTGCACTGGTGGGTCAAAATTGCCCTTACCAGCCTCACCTGGCAACCACACCCCCCCACTGGTCCCAGGGCTCCCTTTGACCTCAGGCCTATGCCTTCAGTTTCTTTCCTAAGATGCACCTGTCTTCAGTCCTGTCTCCTGCTGCTCATGGGTAGCACTGGGACTGAATTCACACCCTTGCCTTGTCTGAGGCTGGTGACAGGGCTCACTTCCAGTGATCTGAGCCTCCCTACTCAGAGCCTGTGGGATTGGGATTGCTGAGGTTACCTCTGTTTGTCCTCCCGTGTGGGGCAGCCCTACCTCTACTCCTCAAATACTTGAAAAAAATCAGAACTGAAAGAAACTTGAAGTTTTAAAATGGAATTCAGAACTGAGCTCTTACTGGACAAATGCACCTTTTCCCTCTTCCTGACAGCTTAAGCCCATGTTCCTTTTGCTTGTCTTAAACCTTCTGCTGCTCCATCATTTCTCCAAAATCCCTGACCAGTAAGGCAAATGAGTCCAGTCCTGGGTCAGCTGTACACATCCTCCTGCAGATCACCAGCAGGCATCTGCATTTTGGAGAACTCTAAGCAGGTCAGGACTTCTTATATTAGGCAGAATATATGGACTGTCTCAAATAGCTGCATTGTGAGCTCACTATGAGCCACAATACCCATTTGTCACTCCTCATGAAGCCAAGTAACAGAGCACACAGGGAAAGGTCACAATCAGTACCTGCTACCCGTGCGTTCCAGGCGGGGGTCCTGACACATATCCAGCTCTGGGGTAGAATCAATGATGTCCTGGACATCGGACCACTCGTCGCTGCTGCCCATCCCTAGGTAAGACAGACATATCACATAAAGGATCAGGACTTTCAGAGAATATTATTTCTTGAAGGGACTTTTGCAGCTTTGAATATTGAGATTTGAAAATTTCATTATGCCATGTTCAAAGTCTTAAAATCAGAACAGAAAGTGGTTGAAGGTGGTCTCTCAATTCCAGAGCAGGAACACCATAAGCATTCCCCTTCCCACTCCCATTCCAAAGCACCACTTAAGTCATTGCCCTGAATACTCACTAAAATTGGATAAGCAGAAGTATTTTACCCACTGAAATAAATTTCAAAACTCCTTTTTTTATCCGCCAATAAAAAACTCCTCCATCCCCATATAGCATTAGCTGAGATTGAAGGCAACACAGTGATTTTCTGTACAACTTCACAGAAATTACTATTGTTAGGAACTGGCACTATTTAGTTTTAACAGAAATAGGTTTTCAATACAAATTCTCAAGTCTACACTGGTTTAGATACGCATTACAGTGAAACTTGACTTCAAAACTGATAAATGAAATCTGGTTTGTGTGTAATCCACAACCTGAAGCCAATATTTAAAGAATAAGGAATTTCTTCCTCTTGTCAAGTCTTGTTTATTGGATATCAAACTCTTCAAAAGCTCAGACCTGCACTTATCCTGAACAAGCAACATGGACATAGTGTCTGTTCACACAAGGAATTCTGAAAGATTAAGAACCTAATGTGTGAATTACATTAATCCCTCAATGAACTTAGATGTGACATTTTTGACCTTTCCAGATATCTCAGTAGCCAAATATACAAAGTCCATGACGACTGAAGTGTTAATTTCTTTCAGGCTGCCATTGCGCCAGCTGGCAGCAAACCCAGACTGGAAAACAAAGTGTCATGTGGATCTGTTGCCAAAGCAGGCATCCACACCAAGCAGGTCTAACACAAACACAGCCCTCCTCAGCTTTATTTTACCAAGCTGGGAAGCTTTTCTGCAAATACCTCCAAGTACCATTTTTGGTAGTACAGCTCTACGGCACAGACATCACTGACAGACATTTTAATTACAGATACATAAAATACATTATTAAAATTCAAGTATGTGCATTACATCTAAGCATGGAGAATTGATTTTGCATTAAGGGTGAGAAATAGCTGAAATGTTGAATACGCAGAACACATAAGGAAGCCATACCTAGCTGCTTTGAGCAAATTCCACAATATCACACTTCTACCAAGAAAGTGAAAAAAAAAAGCAGCTTCTACTTCACACTTGCACACACATAAAAAGGCAATTACTTTGACCCAAGAAAACTGTTGATAGTAAGTGACCTTGTAAAGCAGCAACTATAAAAATCAGGGTATTTATAAGGCATTCAAACTACTGACATCCATGCTTAGCTTTCCTGATACAAGTGTTTCATGGTCTTGCCTTGGCCAGGATCACAGCCAGACCACAATCTATCAGCAGGCTATTCAGAACCCATATGCTTCCATGAACAAGTATCCTAGTATCTGGCCGATGGACATCTGTGACCCTGAGGGCCTCCTCAGGAAAATACAGACTGGGACTCAGTCATGGCAGTTCTCCTTCAGTGCTACAGCAAAAGATGTTATATGTTGGTTTATGGTCTTACTTCGTTAGGAACCAGCTTGTGAATGTTAGCAGAGGAATTTCTGCTTCAGTAATAACTTAGTTATAACTTCTGCCTCCCAACGAACAACTTGGGTAAAAAGATAATTAGTTGGTTCAGATACCAACCTCAGAGACCTATGTTTACCCCTGTACTCCTGCAGATTATCCTAATGACCTTTGATAAATCTTATGGTCCTTTTGTATTTTAAGTTCATGACCTGTAAAACAGATACAATTGTCATTTCTGATGGCCACTTCAAGTCTCACAATCGAGGGTGAGACTGCTCAGACACTACATGGGCACAGCTGAAGGGCTTTTATCATGTTATTACATCATTTATTTATTTCACAGCCTGGTGGTACACCTTAGAGAATGGCTTTCCTGACAAGAAATCATTCAAATTACTAAAGGACTTTGGAAAATGGAGAGAAAACAACTGTAACTTCCACAGATTTGGCTGTGTTCTTATATGAGAAAGAGGCTAAAAGAAAACAGCTCATTTAGCTGAGAAAAACAGCTGGATACAAATATTTTAAGCAAATCAGAGTGTGGGATAAGAGCACAGAGGGAAAATAATTATTTAATCTCACTGACAAATTTGGCATTTGAACAACTGGATATAAAATACAGAAAGAACTAAATATAAGCTTTAATTTTCATATTGATAAGATCCAGGAACAGCTTTCCAAAAGCTCAGCCTAAGATGTGACTTGAGTGCTCATGAAAGAGGTTCCAAGACATGCATGCATGTCACTGCAGGGAACTGAACTCAGTAACCTGTTCCCATTCTGTTAATTTGTGAAATTACTCATATAACTAACGTTTTCAAAAATTTACTATACAGAAAACTGCTAACATCCAATTAACTCTGTCTCATTCATGTACCTTTCCAAGTCAGGCTTCCTCAAATTCTGTACTTACAGTGCAGTATCCCAGCCTTAATGGAGAGACACAAACACTAGGAAGTCAATTATGTCAGTGACCAAATACCTGAGCTCCAGCTGCCATACCTATGCCGACATTCCGCATCTCCTGTGTGACCTGGACTTCCATGTTCCGGCTGTTACGCTTTTCTCGTGCCCTCTTATTACTCTTGGTGGTGCCATTGGTGTACTCGCTGATGGGCTGGATGCTCTCGTTCAGAGGGGTGACAGCAGCAGAGGGAACAGATGACGTGGGAGTGTTGGACTTGGTTCCCGTGGTGCTTGGCGTGGCAGCTGCTGAGGACTGCCCAGATTCAGACATTTCGTCTTGGGGGCACTGTGGCAATTCCAGGGCAGCAGAACAGAAAGGGAAAAGCACAATTATACATTTCAGTAAGTCCCATTTGCTGGTGTATGGCTGCCTTAAAGCATTATGAGCATAGTTCTTGCTCATTGTACCAGTTACATGTTACACGTCCCATTGTTTGCTGGTGACACCAGGCACGACCACCACAGTGAAGCAGAGTTCTTGTGCTGAACGCAACAAGCAAATCCCACCTGTAGAAAGGGCTGCTAACCTACCTCTTCACTACTGAATACTGGTCTTCACAAATGACATTGGTATGTGATCTCAGGAAAGGTGGCCTTATCACAGGTGAAAAGCACCTGTAGCTCACAGTGACTACAGTGAAAGCTGAAGGGCTTTGGCACTTGCAGCAAACTAGGCCAGTTTTTCCAAGGCTGGAAGGCAACATGGATATCACTTGAGAAGGATCTGAAGTGGCCTCTTCGAAGTCTTTGCTGATGTCATTACTGTAAGCCACCAACACATCTGGATGAGAAAACAGCAGACTGGTTTTGCCACTAAACTGCAGAAGCAGAGTGGACACTGATCTGGGATGCTCTGGCTTGTCTGACGGAAGAGACCTATGTCTCCAAACCACCTTATGCAGAGCTAGGCAGGCATGGGTCCAGCTTGGGAACACAGCGTAAACAGGTGTGGTCTCCCACTTCCAAATGGGAGGATGACAATACCCAAGAATTCAGAAAGGTGAGACATGAACACAGGAGATGGATTCTCAGTATGGAATGTGCAAAATGGCCCTTGGTTCTAACAGACATTACCATCACCTCTTGAGGAACAGGAAGGCTTCAAGGCTTTGTCAAGGTTTTACACTGTAAACTGTGCTTGTCAATTAAAGAAGCACTGCTTCAGTAAGACAAGGAATGCCCTGACTACTGCCATGACCCCCCTCAGACTCAAATGAGATTTCCCCAGTCTTAAGGGCAGCCTGCTCTAATTACTGCCTGCAGGGAGGTGACAAAATTAATGCTGAGAGTTATATGTGACAGTAAATTGCAATTGGGTACAGTGGCATTCATCTGCACATCCAGACCCAGCTTTCATCTTCACCACTGGCCTCTCACCTCCAGTGCAAGTACTACAGAGATCCTGGTTCTGCTCAGAGGCTGCTCTGAGCCCCTGAATCTTGGAGCTGCAACAGGGTTTCATTTTGCTCATCTGGAAGTCTCATTCTCTTGTTCTAATAACAGCTTCATAACTTGACAAAAAAATCCAATATGGGATGAGTGAGAAAACTGGAAAAAATGGTGACTTAACCCTTTGCAGCCTTATTTTTGTTAAATCTGGAATTTTATTAAGATCTTCCTTTAATTAGACTGGCCTCTGTATGCTTATCTTAGAATGCTTTGCTGCACACTAGGGAAATCAAAGGGTTTATACCGCATCTGTGCACTTATATTGGAAACTCCGTTTTTTTACAATGACACTACCATTAAATGCAATCTATATTTTGTGTATTTTCCGCATTGTCAGTCCAAACAGTATCCGCATTCCCACATGAATATCCAAACCATCTTCATTCAAATACACTGGTTTTAACACCAAGACTGCGATGAGAACTTGGCACTTAGGCTGCTACATGTGAAAACCACACTTCCCACCTCTACTTTATATTCCTGGTTTAGGAGATACTTTCCCAGTATGTAAAGAAAAAAAAAACAGTCAAATAGGATTTTTGATAATAAATAGGCTCCAGTAATCTTTAGACTACCTCAACTGCAGTTTGTCTTCTGTGCTTTCATATGTACAAAGGGAAAACTATTATCAGGTGCAAAGTGCAACCATAAAACCTCTTTCCTCGAACAAAACTGCTGTTGGATGAAAGAATTCAGGGATGTTGTTGTACCCACTCTAAATCTATGAGAATAAGCAAAGTTCAGGAGCATCTTAAACACCCAGGTGGGTCCATTCCATTTGTCACTCCTTGTTCTTATGAACCAGATGTCATTCAAAAGCCCTGTATCATCAGTGAATATAGGGCAATATCCTGTATCTTCTTGTTCACTGACATAACCTGCCCCTTACCCTGAACACATGAGTAAGTAATTACCCCAGTCTTTCAGTACTCTTCAGTTACAGATGTGTGTTTTGTATTTACTTAGAAAACATATTTTATCAGCCTTCCAGCCTGCATTGGAGAAATTCCTCCCAAATGTATATACTACCAATGTGTTCCTCTTCACAGCCCAGCAGCTGGTATCTTCCTTCTATTGTCTGAGTGCTCTGTTAATGCTAAATATTGTGCTAAGAGTACAGCTCTCTCCAGCACAGGAGACATTCTCCAAAACCCATAGCTCACCCAAAGAATAATCTCCACAGCCACCACTTACCTATGGCCATACCTGTAAACCTCCTAAACATCAACTGTGTAGTAGTGACCTCCAAAATGAATTGTAAAGGCCCAACATTCATAGCAGTCATATGTCACCATGAGAAGCCACAATTGTATGGTTATAACACTGAAAGTATAGTACATAAAAACAAAAATGTTAAGGACTTTCATCTCCAAAACACTGTATAAAATAAATGTAAAACTGAATGCAAAAATAAAATAACACAAAAATAAAATAAAACCAGCAACTGAAACAGGAAATAGTAACAAATAGTAAACAAGGACACTTAAAATATAAGTACAGCATGGCCCTATGAAGAAGTAAAACTAGTGAGAATATTCAGGTACATACTGGGAGGTGAGTCATGTGTGAGTGATATCAGCAAAATATCAGAGCTTTGAAGAAGAGGCAAGAGAGGCATGAGCCACGCCCTCTGAGAAGTCAGTCATGCAGAGAATTTAGGAAATAGAATTTCAGTCACAGAGTGTGCAAGAAGCTTGTGGGAGGAAAAATCTCCATTCCAAACTAGCAAGTCAGTTCATCACATCTTTTAATTATTCATTAATTTGCTCCATACTCAGGAAATTCTCCCTAACAGACTACTCATCCAAGTCTTCTTAGGTCCACTGTACCATCTAGCCTCCTTCATCCCAGCATTCCACTCTGAGTCTCCCTAACGAGCACTAACATGAATACCAGTATGATACATTTTGGCACAGCACACTGCTAGTTCTGCACAAAGCTTTCTTGGAACCAGATTTTCTTGGCCTGGTACCACCATCACCACCACATAACTAAGAGATCCAGTCAGTAATCACTGAATGGTTTGGGTTGGAAAGGATCTTAAGCATCACCTAGTAGCAACCCCTGTGCAGGGTGTCTTCTGTGACCAAAGCAGAACAACCTCTATTACCTGAACTTGGACACCAAAGCTTCCCACTTATCTGGGTTGCTGCTGCATTCTCCTGCAATGCAGATGCTGGGTTACTTCTTTTGCAAGTTCTCAGTGGGACCACTGAAAGAACTGGACCATAGCAAGGCTGTGGAAGATGGATCTAACCACAGTGTCCACCCAACTCTTCTCTAAAAACTAACCCCCACTGCCCAGCCTGGTCACTGGAAGGTCTGTTCACTCTAAGGTGTGCAGCACTGCCTGGAGAGCCTGAGGAATAACTGATTCCAGAGGTGGGCTGGGCTCCATGCATTTTGGTTGTGCTGGTACAGCACTATTATGAAGAAACACATTCATGCTCTGTCCTCATTTCCACCATCCATTATTATGTTATTGTACTGTGGTACTGCTATTCCCGAATTCCATGCAGAGCTTTCCAGAAATGACTGTAGGATCTGAATGGCATGCTGGAAGTTGCTATATTTCCCAAAATTCTGTGCCTCTAACATTACATTACAATAAGGACTTAATTCCAACCATCCATCCTAGGCAAAGTTATTTTGGATTTCCAAAGTGCTGACATTTGTGCTGTGCTAGGCCTGGCTGCTTTACAGACATAGTGTTAAAAAAATTAACTTGCCACTTTGTTTTCCAACTAAATTGATAATTTGTCTATGCATCAGGAAGGCCACTGCTGTAGAGTCCCTCATATGAAAGCCTGTTCATGGAATCTGGAAACATGTAGAATGGGTACAACAAGCTGGGGATTTCTTTTTTATATCCTCTTTGCCTTTACTGCAAACATAGTTTACAGAATCAGTGATTCAAAACTTCTCAAAAGGAGGCCAGTCCTTACTTGTTGACACATAAAACAGCCAATGTGCTACAAATTCCAAGCAAAGTGAAGGCAAATTTAATCAGACACTTTTGAAGTAGAGCAGAAACTCTGTGAGATACCAGTGGACACACTGAGCTGAGCTCAGCAGAGAAACCAGTGGCTCTCAGACCTGTCACCAGGCATTTGTGAAAAATCATTTAAAGAGAAGGATTTGGTGGGATCCCGAGCACAAAGACTTTGCAAAGTTCACACATACAGCTCATGGGAAATGCAGGTCACTATGCATAGCCTAATCTGTCATACCAATCTCTGAATAGCAGATAGGGGACCTCTGAATGGCCAAGCAGAGCACAGAATGCGTTAGGCAGCCTCTAAGCTGCTCCAGTGCAGCTGCAGTGCTGTGAGGAAGACCTCACAGAAGGCAGAGCAGTTAACTGTTACACATGTACTGCACGTAGACAGTACAAGTCTAGAGAAGTGACCAGGCATAGGAGGAATGTAAGACCTTTAAGCGCAGTGCAAGACATGGGCATTCAGACAGGATAAGAAGGAGCCCTTTTCAGTGAATACAGGAACGCTAGAAGATCAGTCAAAAATGACAAACAGTTAAGGGCAAGTGCAACCCAAGGCCTGGCCCCACCTGAGTTGCAGAACCATTGCTCTTATCAAAGTGGAGAGAAGGGACCGGTTCTACCATGTCCTCCCCCAGATAAGCTATAAAGAAGTGAAGGATTTCTCTTCACTCATTCCCTAACTGCCTCCTCACACATCCCTCTCAACTTGGGGCCAGCCAAGTAAAGGAGATTATCTCTGAGACAAAGCAGCATGAGAAGCTGTGTCAAAACCTTCCTGCACCATATGCCAGATGTGCAGAAGAATATCCTCCCACCTCCAGCATAGCTACTATGGGAGCAAACACACAGGGAGAGGCTGCAAAGGGTTACGGACACAGATTGTCTCTAGCTTAATGAAAATGTGAGATGTTACCAAGAGTGAAAGAGTGGGAAACCCTTGCTCTGTGATGGTCTAGAAAACCTTGTAGCTGGAGTTGGACTGCAGCTGGCCGAGGTCACTCAGGTGCCAGTGGTCCAGTGTTGGGACGATCTTGGCCCCTATCTGCCCACGTACCATGCCATCAGCGAGGGGGAAGACATTCAGGGAGTTGGGTCGTTCCTTCCTGCTAAAGAGACAAACAGGGAGAGAGAGGAAAGTGTGTTAGCTGTGTACAAGGTTCTGATAGAAAACAAACAGCACACTAGTGTATATGAAATACTAGTTACTAGAAATCGAACTGCAACTGTTATCTTCACATGGTAGCTGTCTGAACTCTGAACTCCCACACTTTTTCGGTTCTGGCTGCTCAGTCCCATGGTGTTACTGCTAGAGTAATACCTTCTCCTGAGGAAGCTCTATGATGGAGGGGGTCAGTGGCCATAACAAGTACAACTGACTGCTCAATCAGTATGAGAAATTTGGAGGAACATGAAAGTGCAGGGAACCACAAGACAATTTAAGTCAGTGCTTCTTAGAAACAAAGGTACTGGAGGAAAATAAGCCACGGTAAACAACCCTCACAACAAAAAATTAAAAGCTCCGTAGCTAGTAGAGATGACACCACAGGGTGAGGAATAAAGCTTTAAATGTCATCTACATGAAATTTATGACATTCCACTACAAATCTGGTGAGCTTCAACAACAGGAACCAGAGGTGTTGGATCATTTCCAATTTTAAGCAAGGAAGAGTGTAGTTGTATTCTTTGATCTCCCTCGATACCCGTATTACAATGCACTCACAATTCAGAAACTAAATAAAGAAATAAATGAATACATCATGCATATTGCTAGGTGTCTCTAAGTGTGTTCTGTTCATCCCCTCCTTTCTGGCAACTGCGGGTGACTCGCTAGCTGCAGGTTTGATTCTGAACATAAAAGCTGGCACAGATTTTGAGACCAAGCTTCAGCAAGAGAAAATCTAGAGCGAGCAGTGGAGATGGAAAAGATGTGGCAGTAACTTGCTGAACCCAGCAAATGGTTCAGGGTATCTATAATTTACTCCAGTTACTGCAGAGCTGAACTAAATTGATTCTCTGTCTCATGTGCACCCATACTTGGACTCAATCCTTCTTCACTTACTCCTGCACAAAGTTTCTTCTTCATATTGGGAGTGTGATAAAACCTGCCCTTCCTGCAGCACGCTGTTAGTAACGGCAGACCTCCATGTTCCTTTCTGTAATGATCATTAGCACTGGATGCCATGCCCAGGCTGGGAAACAAGTGCAGCCACTTCACCTGTGACCATGGCAAACAACTGCTACAGGGCCCCTGGAACAGAGCAAACACACTAACACAGGAGGTGGTACACCAAGCCAGCTCTTTTAGGAAGGACAGACATGGAGTGTCCAGCAGAGGAGACAATGGGTGCTGAGAAAAACCACAATGCCCAACCTTCTCACTCCAAGCACTGCCCAGCCACCACAGTAGGCTGCATTGCTGCATCAGTGCCTACCTCAAATAGGCAAAAAGGCCTCCTGTGGCCTGTCCTGGATAGGCAAGATGGGACAGAAAGGTATTTCCAGCATGGCCTGCTTGGGACACACTTTTCCTAGGAATCTGTATTAAAAATCCTCTCCTGAAGATACTAGACTCGTACATGGAAGTTTCATACACACTCCTAGAAAGGAGGCATGTAACTGGATTTTAGAGGAACACAGATCACTGATAACACATCATTAACCTTCTCACAGGTAACAAGCAATAGGACAAGAGGAAATGTCCTCAAGTTGCACCAGGGGTAGGTTCAGGTTGGATATTGCAGAAAATTTTTTCACTCCAAGAGTGGTTATGCACGGAAACATGTTGACCAGGGCAGTAGTGGAGTCACAATCTCTGGAAGTACTCAAAAGGTGTGTGGATGTGGCACTCTGCAATATAATTTAGTGAGCATGAGGGTACCCAGTTGAAGGTCAGACTTGATGACCTTGGAGGTAATTTCCAACTGTAACGATCCTATCATTCTCCACAGATTCAAACCCAGACTTCTATGTGATCAGAACTGTCAGTTTCCTTGTAACTTTTCTTTTCCACTATCTGAGGCATCTTGCTGTTTTGTGACTTAAATAATCACTGAAGGTTCAGTGAAAACTTTCTACTGCTGTTTGTCTAAATCCCAGTTTATGAATGTAACCTGCCACTTACACCTGCTCCTACTAGGCCAAAGGACAATTACCTCTGCCTGTCTGCAGTAGGTACCTCTCTTTATCCCACTGCTATCATTCCAAGGCCCTAAAAGTTTCTAACAGCTAGGTTGAAAGTTTCTACAAAAGCTTCTAAATAACATACTAGGCAAATGTTTCCTCTCCTAGGAAATCTTCACCCTGGCACTGATACAAGCACCACAGAAAGCAGAGTTAATTACGTGTAAGAGATTATGAAGGGATTCAAAACTAGAAATCAGAGCCACTTTATACTACAGTATCAGAAAATTTTTAGTTATACAGTTTAAGAAATAATCCAAGGGTCCCTAAGAGTCTACTTAAAAAAAAAAAAATATCTCTTTTTATGGATAAAATAAAATTGGGCCATTTTTTGAGATGGTTTAACCATTAGTTTCATATCTTTCATTTTTTCAGGACCGAATTACAGTTTTAAGAGAGTGTTGCTTTCACAGGTGTATGGAGCAGGAGAAAGTTTCCTATAACTGCAGAACAGTCCTTGTCAAACCAGTGGTACAGCCAGAATAGCCTAGGGACTATGCTGGAATGACTTGACATAACTCACTGACAGCACTGAAACATAAAAGCTGTCCCAAAAGTATGCTGAGAGACATTCAATTATACTTTTTTGTTGATATGCAAACACATATATACTTAACACACAAGGAAATACAGGATCCACGAAATGGAGCGGAAATGTGTGAATTTCACAGTCCCTGTTAAAGAGGTACAGGGTCTCTGTAGCATCAGAAGCTGTAGAATCTTCAGGAAAGAATTTTAGCACAGACTGTTAGGAAATTTCCTTGCTGAGTTTCTTTGGAAACACTTTCAAGCCTCTTCAAAACCTCCCAGGAAAGAGGAAGGCAGAGCTAACTCTACTTTTGCAGTCCTGGAGTTGGCTACCAAATTTAAATGCAAATAAATTTAAAGTATCCTTATTTAGACTCATCCTGGTCTAAATTTTGAGTGCTGCAGCTGCTCTCATATACGCAAATCTTTCCAGGATCAGCCAGGGTGAGTCTTAACACTTGATAGTTCTACCTTGAGTTACAAGGTGAACAACACACTCTCCAATAAAGACTTGCAGTAGCCGAAACCTGGGATTAGGATGTTCTACAAGCAACATCCTAAAATTTACAAAGCATAACAAAACTACAGTTTGTTTGCCAGCATTTAAAGAGGAGAACTAGTCTCTTTGAAGGCTCTGGGCACAGCACTTCCTGCTTAACCATCAGCCAAAAGTGCCTTTGGAAACCCACTGACACTGACACTTGTTCTGCTTCCACTCAGAAACCCAGCATGGCTTGAACTCTAGAGTAAAATAAGAGAGAAGAAATTTCTTAGAATCTGAGGGAACTGCATGAAGCTGTGTCAGGGGAGTTTTAGGCTGAATTTCAAGAATTTCCTCCAGATGGTGGTGGGCACTGAACTGGCTCCCCAGGGAACTGTCATGGCACCAAGGCTGCCAGAGCTCCAGGAGCGTTTGGACAATGCTCTGAGGCACAGAATGTGATTGTTGGGGTGTCTGTCTGTGGAAGGACAGGAGCTGGATTTGATAATCCTTATGGGCCTCTTCCAACTCAGGATATTCAATGAGTCTATGGGTCTATGATTCTATGACTTTTTATAACATTAGGGGATGTGACGTGTAAACATCCCATCCCAGACATCTGATCCTGTTTTGGGACCAAACTTGTGTGTCTTCTGCATTTGCATACACAAGCTTCTCCCTACTGTGTTATCCCAGCTCCATGGCTCCCTTTGCACTCCTGAACCAGCAAGTCCAGCATGGGTGCCAGTAGACACAGAGAGTAAATATGCCAGTACAATACAGTCCCAGCATCACACTGTCACCATTTCACAGCAACCTCCAACACTTGATTTAATGAAGTTCAGATGCAGCAATAGGATTTACCTTTTCCTCCAGGACTGGCGATGACTGCAGTAACAAACATAACAGCCAAACAGCAGCAATCCCACAAAAAGCAAGACAAAAAGAACAACCATTAGAGAGCAAATGTCATGCAAACATGCAACCTACCACAGACACAAGGTAGACATGCACTGCAAACCCCAGGCCATGTGGAAGTGGTACTGTAGATGTGACAGCCTTGTCAGAGAGCAAGAAAACTAGATAAGTTTTCCCAGAATCAGTCTGAGAGACTTTAGGGAGTTGAAGATAATGATAGCTTATTATTATAAACAACCTGCAGGTGGCGTTTTCCTAGTCTCTGTTTTCTTGTTTTTCTCAAGCATTGTTTATAAGAAAGGCATCTTGTTAATTAGCCAATCAGGTGATATGTATTGATTAATTGACCTAACCAGGTCTATCTCTATCGGAACAATGTACAAAAAGAGGATCTGAAGTAAAGGCATATGCTTTACACAAACTAGCCTTCTGGAGAATCTGTGCTACACATGCACACACACAAACACACGCAAAGCTGGAGATCAAGAAAAAACTCCCATTTCCCACTGGTAGCTCCTACAGACTTGGACCACAGTCCCATCATGGGCTTTTCACAGATATACAGTGTTTCTCTCCAAGGATACTAGCAATATGCCACACTTAAAGGGTAAAAGACTAAAATTCTCTGACATGAAAAGGTAATTCTTGATGGAAATTTTGCCCTTCACCAAATGAGAGTGGCAGTCTTGTAGATACAACCAGCAACACTTTTCACTGGGCAACCCTTTCAAGGAATGTTAACATAAAGCCATCATTAATATTAACTTATTTAAGAGTCAGGGAAGGAAAAGCTTTTAAGCTTTTAAGAAAGGAAGAAATGAAAAATTATTTCTATTATGCAGTCCAACTCAGGAGTTGGACTTCAATGATGCTTGTGGCTTGCTTTCAACTCAGGGTATTCTATGATTCTATGATTCAAAATTGGCAGGTGCACACAGGCCTCACCCTTTAAAAGAGAGACATTCTAAGTTTGCTTTTGCCTACAGTACTTTCGGATTTTACTGTGTAAGCACTTCCACAGATATAGTCTTACTTCCAGAAGTCTAAGTTGGGAGAGAAACAAGCCTAACACACCTATCCCATTCCATCTCTAACAATAGGCTCAGATCATGTTCTGGGAGCTCACTCTGGATTTCCAGACTGTGAGGGATAGAGAAGAAGGAAGAAAAATAGTCTGATAAGGGAGATTTTATGAACAGATGAGCACTTACAACTATTGGTTCCTTTTAGACCATGTCTTCTCAAGCTTTCTACAGCTCATCTGACCAGGAAAGCTGACATCTAGCTTTTTTTTGTTCTTCTCAATTGATTTCTATATTTTAGACAATTTATTTCTAGTCAGAACCCACACACTGCAGGAAGGGAGGAAAATCCCTTTCTTGGACATAAGTAGGATTTGTGGTGACTGACAGAAAGCTTGCTCTGAAAGAACAACAGGTGAAAAAATCCTGTAATAGCTAATGGATTTAACTGCTAAGTTTTGCTGCCTATCCCACATACAAAGACATATAAACACACAAACACTTTATCTGACACCTTCATCTATTCTAAACTTTTACATACTACCTAAGAATAGGAACGTGTTTTCTAGAGACCCCATCAATAGCAGCATGATAAAGCCTCACCTCTGTAGAACAACTTAGAAAGCTCCTCACCATCAAGTACTCACAACTCACCCAGAACCGATTAAAACAGAGCTTCAGCTACAATCCTTGTCCCCAGGGAAAGGTCCTGCTCTGTTTTCTCTCTCAAACATACACAATCAGTGTTTAAGTTCCCAGGTGACACGTGTTATATGGAAAGGTCATGGCCCTACCTTCTCCCGGGTACACTGCCCTCAGTTTGGTTATTTCCCCCAACTTGCTGCATCTTAGATCGCTCAATGTGTTCCACGTATGTCTGGATCATCTGTGAGGAGAGAAAAATCCATGAGGCAAACACAGTAGAAGGAAAGGCTCATTTTCTGCTTTTGTTTAATTTTCTGTGGCATCCATTTCGAATCCCCTGGGTTTTTTTGCAGACTTCCTTGTCTTTACTGCTGCCTTCTAAGCTGATGATGTACGTGAATGGTCTAATCTAATAGAAAATTTATCAGCAAATTGTGTCAGAAATTACTTCAGCTGAATCTCATAACCAAATATCCTTGAAAAAAAAACAACATAAGCCCGAATGCCCATTGGCAATGGGAGATGAGGGAGCACTGTGCATAGCATCACAGAAGAGGTGAGATTGGAAGGATTAATGGTCCTACGGTGCATTAGTCCACCCCCTGCTGAAATAGGGCCACACAGAGCAAGCTGCCACAGGACCGCATCCAGGTAGATGATGAATATCTCCAAGGAAGGAGACTCCAACACGCCTCTGAGCAACCTGTGCCAGGGCTAATTGGCCCTGCAGTAAAGTAGTTTTTACTACTTTGTTCAGAATGAGCTTTCTGTGTCCTCATTTGTGCCAGCTGTCTCCACTGGGTGTTGTGGTGTGTTTTGCTCTGAATCCATGTTTGTTCCCTGTCCTCCTCCCTAATCCCCTCCCTTTACCAGTTGCCAATTTTCCCAAGCCCTTCCCTAACCTCCTCCCTTCCAAGCTGTCAATCCTCCCTATCCCTACCCCTTTCTCCAGAGAGTTCTGTGTCTGTCTTG